AGATTTCTTACATAGTCTTTACTACAACTGAAAAATGAGTTATTCACATTAGTAGAAGAAATAAAAAATATAATACTGCTGAACTTATCGAACTAGACTTAAAGCTTAGTAGTACAGCTTTCAAAATTTTAGAAAATGTAAAGGTTTAATGATTAGAACTTTCTCAAGAAGAGTAAGAACATTACAGAATAAAAATGAGACTTATGATGAGATTTGTAGATTTCATTAAAGAGTATGCAGTGAAAAAATTGAGGACCTTTGTTTCGTATAAAAATTTAAAGAAAGTGTTAGCAAAATATGGTAAACTCTAATAACTCAGATATTATTTTACTATTTTTTCTTTTAACCCATAAAATTCAAGACTCTAGCGAGCATTTCAAGTATTGCATAATAGAAATTTTAGTTAAGAATTACAGATCTTTAGTTATAAATTACTTGGAAGCTATATGCAATGAGTATATCGTGGTAATTCTTCACATCACAATCAACATTACAAAAGATTCAACAAGAAAAGAACTTAGCATAAAACTTAAATACGAATTAATTGATAATGAAAGTACTGAACAGATCGATTTTATAATCAAAATATTAGAATAATTTTTTTCTAGAACAGCCTGTCTTGCAAATTTCTTTACATTTTTTATACTGAAGGAAGGATATACTAATATCATATTTTTTATTGTAGAATACTGAGAATCTTATTTGTATCATAAAGAATAAATCTCAATGAAATGTAATTGAGAAAATATAAAACAGCTTAAGAGTTTATTTTAAATGAATAAGAAGAAATAAAAATAATATGATGATGATGATTTTGATTATTTATATAATATTATTACTATGACTAGGGACTGATACTTTCTGTTATACACTTCAAGGATAATTTCACAAGGTAGCAAATTTCTATTAAGCATCAAATTTTTTCGAAAATGCTTTAAACAAAAATTTTGAAGAATATCAAATGTTACATAATAACATAAATGATATTAAGTGTAATAATAGAATTATTAATGAATAGAACATACAGAAGACGATTTCCCTTAAAAAAAACTAGAATAGAGAAATATCATTCAAAAAAATAAACTTATAATATTTATTTTTAATACTTTACATTATTAATAATAATGCAAAAAATGCAATAATTTCTAATCTAAAATATGATTAAAAAAGTTACAATTTTTTTTACAATAAATTTGTATAAGAAAAAATTTTATCTATAATTGATTAAATTATTCACTGTGGTAAAAGTGAAAAAGTCTGTCTGTAATTAAGGGATACATAAGAAGTATAATTATTTGTATTAAAGAGAAATATTTTTCTATTTTTTTTATCTGTATTAAACTTATTATTTAAGAAAGAACTCATGTTTTATTGATCAATTTCACCAGTTTAACAGGATTTTATTCTATGCAATGATCATCAACTAATAGTTTTTGCTTATTTTTATGTAGGAAAGAAATTTCTTATGATCGTGAAAATTTTTCACAGAAAATTAAATTTTCTTTGTCAACTAAAATATTTTTTTTAAATTCTAAATGCTTTTCTTTCCTACTTTTTAGTATGGGTAAATCGTAACATGGCTGATATTTTCTCAATACCAATATAATCTTCGCAATTAGTAATAAGAAACTTTCGACAGATTTTAAGTAGGAGCATACCTGAATATTAATAAGTAAGTGAAAAAATAATGTATTTTATCTCGTGAAATATAAAAGTGATTTGTTAGTGAAATATAGGAGCTTAATAGTACATTTTGACCATAAAGGTTTACTATTTCTATATGTGAATTCAGTTAAGATATTACTTTATTACAACTAAAATGATGTTCTAAGAGCTTCTTAAAGTTTTATGAAAAGAAAAGTTCTTTTACTTTTAAAGTCAATATCTTTATAACTAAAATAGAACTTGATTTTCTATATTAATACGTCTTATTTTACATATATTTTCTTCTATGCATTTCTATGTACTACTTTATTACTTACTATTCAAACATATTTTTTACTCTTACATTTTTCATTTTAAAAATAGAATACGATGATATATTTAGAACAAGACTTCTATTCTGATGAAAGAAGATTCTAAAGAATAAAAAGACTTCTTCAATAGTCATTACTGAGAATAAAATAAAGAACTTTTTATGTCAAGATGTTAAAATTTAAGATAAATGCGAGAAAAGTCTATTTTTGATATGAATAAAACTGATAATAAGAGAAGTATTATATAGTTATTTTTATAGATTAAAGCAAATAATTTTTTAAATAGCGTTGGCTTTGGTAAAAATAACACAATGTAGAGTAATTTATTACAAATTATCCCTTTATTATTGACTATATAATAACCTCTTAACCTCTCGCTAATGTGCTGTTAATATATTTTGGTGGCACTTACTATATAATATATCCTAAAAAATTCAAAGCATTTTTAAATGGTCCATTAGTTCTAGCTGTTCCTTAAAAAGTAGTAAACTGTAGAAATTACTCATATACGCCCTTTATATTTTTTATTTAAATATAGAAATAGATGATTTTAAATATTTTCTAATTATACTAACTCAGTCTGATATAAGTGATTAAGTGTAAAACTGTTTTTGGGTTATAGTTTTAAAAATTTGTAAATTAATTAAATAAAATTTATAAATTATATATAGTTATTACTATAAATTGAAAATTAATAAAAAACATAATAATATATTATTTATATTAAATAAAAAGAGAGAGATATATAGTATATATATATATATATATTGGTAAATTTATTATTTATAAAAAAGTTGTAGTAATAATAATAATAATAATAATATATGAAAGATATAAAATAAATCATATTATACAAAAAATAAAATATAAAAAATTATTTATTGTCTTCTTTTTTTCTTATATAATACTCAAAATAAATAAAATTTAATACTTCTTAATATGACGAATAAATGTCTTTTCATACTATAAAAAATTAAATATTATATTATAATTAAAATACGAATAAATAATTAATAAATAATAATAAATAATTAATATATAATTTAAATTTTAACAATACCAATTACAAATTTTTTTTTAAATTGCCTTTAAAATAAATATACTAAAAAAAGTTATTAATTTTTATTAAAAGACCTTTCATTGTAAATGCATTTATTCATAATAATAATAATAATAATTAATAAATGTAGCCAATAAAATTAATATTTATAAATCAAAATTTGTAAATTTATTTTTAATTGTAGATTTTTAAAAATTGAGTTTTCAAGTATTATTTATTGAATAAATTGTATTATTAGTTTGGTAAAAATAAAATTAGATTTGACATAATTAAATATTAAGTACAACAAATGATTATAAAGTAAAAAATTTTCTGCCAATAATGTCTTGATATCTTAAAAATAGAAAACCACTGTCAATGAAAAATTTTTTCAGCAGCTTTGGATCAAATCACTCAGTTTTTTTGTTAAAAATAATAGATTAAACTAAGAAACAGAATAAATTATTTTATACAAGAGAAGCAAACAATTTTATTTTTCTTATTACAGTTCTTTTTTTTATTATTAAATTACTAACTTTAGTTTAAGAGTTGTCACATATTTTAGTCTGTTAACTTATTGTTTATCTGTATGTTTTTGCAGTTAGAAACTTGTAATAGCTCTTAAGTTATTTCCTTTTGATGTATTTTTTTTTTATTTTTTTAATTTTTTTTTATTATTTTCATGTATTTTTTCAATTATCTCTATATAATTTTATTATTGTTCAATAAAATTTTTATAACTTAAACCTTTGCTTCTAAAATTAATATAGAGTCTGCTAGAATTTGCTCTTTTGTCATTGAAGTCTTTGATAAAAGATGCTATTTTTGTCTTTTAAAAATCTAATATTAATGAGTCTTGAATTATATGTATGGTGATGTATACAATATCACTAAACCTCTTCTATTTCTTCATATTTTTTTCATTGATTTAAGCACATTGAATTTGAGATACTGGAAAAGCTTCTTATAAGAATACACTTTCTTATTTGATCAACATACTTTTCCTCTAGAAATTACTCATATATTATTCAATCATCTTGCTGAAATATTGAAATATTATTCAAGAGATAACAAAGAAAATGTATTAAAATTTATGACTTACTTTTTTCTTATATTAACAGAAATGGTTCTAACAGTTAATGAATAATCATTAGAAGATTTCAGGAAAAATAAGATTAAAAAGTATTCTTTGTACTAATAGACAATTGATAGGACCCATATTACTGATAATGAAGTTACATTTCATATTCTTATCACGTTTCAAGTGGATATGCTTTGAGTTGAACATATACATTTAATGATAAATTGATTAAATAGAGCTTAATATATTTTATAGTGGTGCTAATGACATTTTTTAGGACATGCAAATAATTTTGAGATTGTAGGACAAACTTTAGTTTTGTATATAACAGTTATCACAAGATTTCTGATAATATTTGATCATTATTCAAAGTCTTTTGTGAATAGAAAAATTCCTCTGGTTAGATTGGCTAATGGTGTAAATTTTTTCAAGAGTATATGAGAAATCGTTCATTTTTCAATCTCTTGGTAGTTTATAAACAATTATAAATAATTGAAAGAAAAGAAAATTGTTATAGAAAGCTAAAGGTGCTTTGAAAGGAACTATATTTTGCCAATAATCATAATTCTTTTAATAAAATGATTAATAGTTTTTTAAAATTTTATTAAATACTTTTTTTTCTAATATAAATAATAATTATAATAATAAATTTTTTATGTTATCTTAAATAATCTGCTTTTGTGATCAACATTAATCTGTATATTTTTAAGATTGTATCTCGTTTTAAAAAATTTCATTTTATCATAAATTTTTTTATTGTAAAAATTTCGAGAACAGACTTATAAAAACTTGATCGATTCGATAGATTCCATATAAAAAAATTTTCCTAATTTTATACCGAAAAAATAAATTTATTTTTCTTATTTTTCTATACTAATCCTTTCTCTCACTAGTTTTCATCCATATGTCCACTTCTTCTGCGACAACTGATTCGAAATTTAACGATGAAAAGAAAAGTAAGTATACACCACTGCATTAAATCTAAACTTTTTTTCTGTTATTAACTTATGTCTACAGGAAGAAAGTTATTTAAGATACCCAAGTTTTGAAGTCTATCAGAAAGAGAGGTTCATGCTTATCATTGTAAAATATTCAATTTATTAAATGATGATTTCATTCTAATAAATATTTAAAGATACAGCATCCAATCCGCCCAAAGTGCTAAATTCGATAATGATTAAAATGTCACATCCTGAGACAATTGAGTCTCTTCGTAAGTATGAAACAGAATTGGGGAAAGCGTAAAAATTTCTGGATAAGGCTGAAACTTTCTTGAATAAGTAGTCGTTTTGAGATTCTTTCTAATTAATGCCTTTGTAGATCGTATGGGGTATGATTTCAGGTGGTCCGCTTCAATGGATGATCCGAACAGAGCTATGGTTTTCTTTTTCTTAGCTGACGAGAAATCTGCCTTAGAATTTGATGATGAAACGGGATTCATTCTCATCTTCTTTTATGATAATATCGATAAGGGATCATTTGATGGGCACAAAGACAAATGGGTATTGGTATATAAGCAGCAAGTGAAGAAATATGGGTCAGAATATATGAATAAGGAACTGATGAATCTTGATGAAGAAATGCCTAGAGCAATATATTTACCGGTTGATAAATTGCATCGTGATGATCTTGTAAAGTCTCCATCAGCAAGAACAGTATCTGCTTGATATGTTAATCAAGAACACCTGGTCAGAAATACTGATTATTGTTGCAAATAAGTGTCCATATCAGTACCGATCAGTATAAAAATAAATTTAATTAAATAAACTTATTTTGTCATTTGTTTATTTATAATAAAGCTTAGGATTCGAGTTAGACAATCAGGAACAACTAATTATGCCATACTCAAGTGTAATTTTAATGATCCTGCTGAAGGAAATAAATTGTATAAAACTGTTATGGATTCAGGTGCATCAGAAATGATCCTTGTCCATAGAGCACTTGGAAAACAAGGGTAGAAAAATGTAAACTTGAAAGCTGTTGGATATGGATACCCTGCTAATATTATATATGCATCAACAACATTTGAAGTTTCCATTCCATTGGAGACAATAATGGATGGAATAAGTGGGTAGGTATAGATAATCTTAGAGTTTTGCAAGCAAAACCTGAAAATCAAGTTGACTGTTCGCTAATTGGAACTGATGTCCTTGGTCAATTTTTCTTCATACATTTGCCAAATCAAGGATTTAAATTTTTAGACGAAACAGATGAAACTAGATTAACTAATTTCGTAAATTCCCTTCCCTGAAATTCTCTAACAAATTCAACATGCAAAAGAGTATAAATAATGTAACATTATTGTGTAAATTATGTAATAAAGTATAATCATTTTACTGCGCCATGAGTCTTATAATATGACTGATTTTGAACATAATTATTAATAAAGCTTCGCTTATATTTTGGCATACATTTTTTTTACATATATACTTATAAGGAATAAGTGTAATATATTATAATTATTTGATAATCATGCACAATTCGTTTTTGGCTCAAAAATAAACTTTATCCGCATACATCTTTATTTCTTTATTTATATCTAACCGATTGAGGGATGTTGCAAATTTTATACTTCATTCAAACACTAGAACATTACACAGATAAAATAATTACCAGAAGAAATTACAGAAAAAAGTGATCAGATTGAGCAATATTTGCGCTATAAATTAATTGTTTATGAATAGGAAAAAAGTCGAAGGCTTTTGTTTATAGTATGGGTACCGGAATGCAGACAGAGATTAGTAGTTTCTCAGTAGTTTCTCTATAAAGCAATACAAACTGATTCTTTGGATAAAGCAACTCAAACAGAAGGTATTGATTTCTTGAAGCAAATTAAAAAGGCTAATTATATTGTTAACTTACGCAATTAGCATTTTATCTAATTTCTACATCATTCATAATTCTAGCATAATAAGTATATATTTTTTTTCTGGTTTTGAACTTGTGAGAAGCTGGGCATGTAAAATAACTGTCCATTCCGATTATAAGTGTATTATTGATAAACTTCTGAAAGGCATAAAAGATAGGGCTTATCAAAGGATCCTGCATCATTCTCACAAACTAATTCCTCAAGAACAAATTTCAGAGAAATGTGATAAAGGAATATTTGCGTCATAAATTAAAGATTTACCAGAAATCTTTAGATCGGAGTCACAAAACTATGAATCAAAAAAAACTTCACCCTCAAAGTTGGCCTGAATGTCATACATCTTTAACATTGCCTATTTCTTATGTTACAGATACTGATGATATTGCCTGTAATCATAAAGCGGAAAATCGAAGACTGGGTTAAATATGAACTTGACGTCTTTTACAGCAATTGCTTAAATATAATAGAGAGCCTTTTAACCGATCCATGCAGAGTGGGTTAAAGTTAATTAGCATTTGTATCATGGTATTAATAAAATGAAGACGCAAAGTGCATGAGATGAAAAAGTCCTTGCTTCTATGAAAGCAACATGCACTGCACCTTAGGCTAATTTTTCAAGAATAATATCAGTATTTTTTCCCAGAATCTAGACCTCAGCAAATTTTTGACTAATCTCTAGGCGGAATTTTTGCCAGAATACTCAAACTTCTAGGATGAGATGAACTTCCTGAAATTTTCAGATTTCCTAATTTTTCAGGAATTTTTCAAAACAGTGATATATGATCAGCCAACCGCATTTCAATGATCATTATAATAATTTGCTCGAGCATTTGCCTCTATCTATAAAAAAAGATGTATGATTACGCCTTACAAACCATAAATATAATCCACTGTCTGAGAAACAGGCTGGTGGAATCCATCCAGATATTGAGGAATTGCTTATGAAGGAGGTTAATAAATACTATAAGAAAAAAGATTGCTAACGTATTAAAGTAGATGCTAATGCTACTCCAAATAGTCCCAGTACTTTTCCCCGACTAGATGGATTTGAGAAACGGTTAGAGAAGCGAGAAGTATTGCTGAAATAGAGGAAAATAATATTAAGAAAACTATTGAATCCCAGCTAAATGTAAAAGTTAGAAAACCAGTATAATTCTCGTGTCTCTGAATTAAAAGCAGTATGTATTTTCACCTTAGATAAATCTATAATCGAGAAAGATAAGAAGATTGGCAAGTTACCCTCTACTATTTCCCAACTCAAAATAATAAGAAGAATTTAAAAGAGTTAAGTATAAAAAGTTGGAAGATATTATATTTGATAAAGATTTAAAGATTATTATTCTTAATGATCAAATTATTTCTTTTGTATCTTGAGATGGGAGATAGCCTAACAGATATTTTGATGAAAATGAATGTATATTATGGGTAAGAAAGTGTAAAATGCAAAAGATAATTGTTTTGCAAGACCTTTTGGTTTAAGAGAGCAATTTGCTTTGCTATCTATTAATGCATCAGATATTTGAACAGTTTTTCCTAATAGTAAAGTAATTTGGCAAGTAATAGTTGCAATATCATTAGGAATAATTTTATGAATAAAAATTAATTTCCATAGGATTTGGCTATAAAATATTTTGCAAATGAATTAATAGTTAGTTAATCATTTAAAGCTGATTCATTTGTAAAGGTTGCTGTTCTACTTGAGTATTTTGTGGTAATTGCGGAGCAACTTATTGCTGGATATTTTGTGATAGATTTATTTGTTAAGAAGCAATTCAAATTAAATCTGATATTGGTTATAAGATTTTTGTAATACTGTAGTAATTCTATTCCAAGACTTTTCACATTTCTTGTCTGAGAAATTTGAAATAAAATGATTTAGAATAGAATCTTTCAATGTAATACATTCAGCATTAAACATATTATATGAATTAATAGAAACTTCTCTAAGTTGAATGCGAATAAAAGAATTAACTGTTGATCATAAAATAGCAAAAAATCTATTTAAAGTATTATTATTTGTAAGAATCTTAAAATGATTTAGAATTTTTGCTATCCTTTTTAGTAGTTTGTAAACCTGAAGATGATTTTTGCTAGATGATTTCTTATGCTTATTAGTCTTTGAAATTAGAAGTCAATTTTTTTGTAACTTTGGCTTTATATTCTTTCTCACTTTTTGAAACACTAGAGTTATTTAACTCACTTTCAGATAATTCAAAGGTTATTTCATCAAGACTTAGAGCATTAGTTTAATACTATGAATGAAATCCTATTTTTAAATCCTAAATATTTCAGATTTTGAGAGCTAATATGAAATTTGTTTATAAATTTTATAATTTAGGCAAAAATCTGATATTATTCTAAAATATTTTAGTCTTTTAATACTAATTGATATATTTAAAATTATAATTCATATGACTTTAACCAAAAATATTTCTATCTAAAATAAGTTAATTCAATAAAATTAAAATATAACATTATTTATCTAAAATAGTTTAACTGTAATTAATTAATTATTTATTTATTTTTAAAACTTTAATTTTTGATTTTTTTTACATTTAGATAATTTAAATAATTTATTTTTTAAAGGAAATTTATAATATGATAATACAATATATTAAAAAAAGAGATTTTCATAAAATTGGATCAACAATCTCATGTCATGTCTTTACTTAAATTAGAATATTCTTTTCAACTTAATACAAAAAAATGCAAAATAAAAAACTAAAATCTATAATATAGGGAATATATATTAAACAAAATCAACAAATTTTAAAGGATATTATAATGCTACCTATACTTATTGTAAAAAATATTAGTATAAGAGATCACTAAAAATATGTAAAGAGCATTTAACAAATTTATGTCTAAAAGTATTATCTGAAGTTTGTGACTTTTTTTTTAATCATTTAGTAACTCATATTATTAAAAATGAAATAATAATAAAAAAATATAAATTTAATATTAAAAATATAAAAAAATTCAACTAAAGAAAACTTAATTAAAAGTTTCAAATTTTATAGAATACATAAGATTAATTAAAAAAAAAGAATTAAAGAAATTAATTATACACTTATTAAAGTATTTATAATTTATGAAATTTTATAGCAAATCATTAAAAATTCTTTTTTATTGAATTTCTTAAAACATTATAACTAGTAATTAGAGAAAGGGCTTTTTGAAACAAAAAGCTTCAAATGGTTTCAGGTCATCCTGAGTATTACAAATTTCATATATCAAATTTCACATATCAAATTCCTAATGAAATAATACTTGAAAGCCTAAGATTACCAATTCGCTTTCTTAACTAGCTTTCATTTTAAAATCGCTTGTTTTCAAGTAGTAAAAAATTTTCTATTTTGGAACATTTTTATCTGAAACCCTTTTGGAATCTATCTTGAGTAATAAAATTTTTCATATATATGAGCGCTAAACATGAAAGCAAATAGTATTCACAGTCTACAAAATGAAGTAGAGCATATACACAAGATATGTTTACATACATATTGTTTTCCTGTCACTAGCCTGTCACTAGTCTCTACTAGCCTGAATTTTTGCAAGCTTTCTGATATTGATAAAATGCTCTAGAACGATGCTTACCTGAATGTTTTTTATAAGCATTATATCCAGAGAAAGTTTTTTTTTATTGCATTCAGATTATATACATGGATATTGTTTAGGTAAATTCTGATAGACTTTACATTTCTTTGGATCATAGTATCTTTGATTGCATTCTTTTCCAGTCCTAAAAATATATGAACAATAATAAAAATTACAGGATGTCACCTTTTTCTGCCTCCTATAGTTTCTTTTGAATAAATGTCTAACACTAATTATCTGAATAAAATAATTTTTATTTTAAACTTTTTTCTAATACTATATAATCTTTAGAAAAATAAGCAGATTACTCAGTAGTATCACTGGTATATTAGAACAATTGTTCAGAAATTTCTGGGGAGGTCTGATATCACTTGAGTTACCTAAACCTTCTAAGCTATTAGTATTAGAAGAGCCAGAGACAGATTCAGATGGAAAGAGCAATTATGAGACTGCTGATGAAGAAGATACATCAGATTCTAAATTTGAATCTGAATCTAATAATGAGTTTGAACCTGAAGAAGATAAAATAATATTTCAAAAATAGAAGATCTAGCTCTGAAACAATTAATAAAAACTAGAAAAATTTTTGATCAAAGCTTATATATCGATCATCTTGCTATTATTTCAGAAACTTATCAATATTGAGAAAATCATTTAGTTATGTTTAAGAATATCAAAGACCAAATCAATGATGTTTACAGAAGAGAGTTAGCACGTATAGAAGGAATAAAAGTAAAGATAGTCCTTATAGTTCATATATATCAATTTGTAAATCTAGAAAGAAT